ATTTGATATTTATATGTATGGGCAAAATTGAAAACCTGAAGTTTTAAGATTGAGATTTAAGATCTCAGAAGTGCTAAGATCTACCACTGATATATTACTACTGGGAGATTTGAAAATTACTTCTATGGGCAGGCTTTACCTTGATCAGTAAACCTCCACAGTGGCTTTGGTGTTTTTAGGTATTTAGCTAAACATGTTTGAATTTTTGTTTTTTTAATGTTTGTTTATTTTTTGAGAAAGAGAGCAAGCTGGAGAGGGGCAGAGAGAGGGAGAGAGAAATCCCAAGCAGGCTCTGCACTGTCAGCTCAGAGTCCTATGTGGGGCTCAAACTCATGAATTGTGAGATCATGACCTGAGCTGAAACCAAGAGTAGGATACCTAACCGATTGAGCCACCCAAGTGCCCCAACATGTTTGAATTTAAATATATCTATAACTATGGGTCTACATATGAAATGATGCTATCCTAGAGACAGATTGGTGTGACTAATGCTATGAATGCAGTCTATTAAGAATAACTCCCTATTTAGAGGCAACTGGGTGGCTCAGTCATTTGCGTGTCTGACTCTTGGTTTTGGCTCAGGTCATGATCTCATGGTTCCTGGAAGTGAGCCCCCTCCTCAGGCTCCTGGGCCGTCAGCACAGAGCCTGCTTGGGATTCTCTCTCCCTCTCTCTGCCCTTCCCCCGCTCACATGCATACACATGCTCTCTCTCTCTCTCTCTCTCAAAAAAAAGTAAATAAACTTAAAAAAAAAAAAAAAAGACTCCCTTTTGCCAATTAGGTAATTATTTCATACTATGTATATTAGACATGTCTCTGTTCATAGTAGTAGAAGTAATGAGCTTTTGTTCTTAATTAAGCAGCTAGTTAGTTTTTACCACAGGGGCACTGTAAATCATGTTGTTGATCATGTTTCCTTCTCTCCCTTTGAAGCTAAAATGCTCAGAGAGAAGTTTGTGATCAACCCCTGGCCAGGTGTACAGACCCTCATGGCATGCATGGGGACGCTGCCTCATTTCCTTCTTCATTTTACATCCTCCTTGCCCTCCTGCCTGCCTTGCTTTTTCTTTATCTTAAATTGGTCAGCTGCCCTGGGGACTCGAGATTCACCTTCTTCTCAGTGCCTGCGGTCACTCCCTACTGCCACACCTTCCTGGTGCCTTGCACTCCCATCCTACTGAATACCTCATTCCTGTCTGTATTGGGTCCTGCTCTTCCCTCTCCTTGGTAAAGTCCTCTCTTATAACTCTCCCCCCACCCCCACCCTTACTTTTGTCAACTTTGAGCTCCATCATCAGTCACAGTCCTTTCTAGACACCCTGTCCTTTTGGCCTGCTGTTCCCATTCAGACTTCTGTTATGGTACCTAGAAAACTTTACCAAATTCAGATGTTCACAAAATAGTCCACCTCTACTAGACCCTGGGCAGGGACCAGATCATACTGTTCTTTGGCTCCACGCTGCCTGCACTTGATCAGGGGAGAGGGGGAATGAATTAACCAGTGTCATATACCGTGAATGAGCCTGTAATTCTGTAAGAATTGAAAAATGACCATTGGACTAAACAATATGGAGGTAATTGGTGACCTTTGTCAGAGCCCTCCAGGGGAAAGGTGGGGATAGCCTGGTTGTATTAGGGAGGGAGGTTGGGAAGAAGGGCTGGGGGAGGGGAGAGGTAGAAGAACCAGGAGAAAGGAGTAGAAAGGCAGGCTGGGAGGGGGCAAAGAGGGCATGAGGTTGTACCTCTTGCCACAGAGGACAAGGGTCTGTACTCTCTGTCATTTGGTGGTGTATCCCTGGGAGGTAACCCCGGTGGCCCCGTAGTATGGATGAAGGGAGTAGGTCTTCAGCTTATATTCACCAAGTTGAAGTCTTGTTTTAGAAAAAGTTTCTTTGCCTCATAGGAGCTCTTAACTGCGTTACCTCTTTGGTGTTTACTGCACATGTCTGCTTTTTGTTAGGAATTTTCTTTTTAGGTGGACAAGTCCCTGTCTTATGATTTGTAGTCCTTAAACAGCAAATACATTGTGCTGTTCATAGTGCCATTTAATAAATGCCTGAGGTTTTTTTGCTTCAGTGCTTTTTGGTTTTCATGACATCTAAATTATAAAGTACTAATGCATCTTAAATAATACTAACCAATTCAGATAAAACTATTTTGTCTGACTCTTCAGAATCTTAATTTTTTTCATATGAAACAAATTTGAAAATGTAGGTGTGAAAAAACCACTCCTATTTCACCACCTAACACCACTGTCATCATCTCTGATTCAGGATTTGTTCAGACAACTTCCTCTCACCAACACTCTTACCTCTACCTGAGTGCCGTTTTCTTTTTTTAAAGATTTACATGAGGCACCACCTCTCCTATGTCGTCTTTCCTGATACCCATCAACCTAGCTGAGAAAATTGATTCCCTTACCTCACTGTGCCCTAGACAGACTTCTGTTATTTTACTGCTCTGGTCTGTATGTACATCTGAACCAGACTGGCCTCTCCTTAGGAAGGAGTAAAGTTATTTTTTTGCTCTATATTTTAGAGTTGCAGAACGATACCTTGATTATTTTTGTCTTTTGTATTTTGTTAAAAGCATTTTTCTGTTTTATAAGTTGTAGGTGTAAATGTGATTTTAACAACTAATTTCATCTGATGGCGGCTGTCCTTTCTTTGTTACTGGCTATTCAGGTTGTCTTTAATTTTTTTGAATACAAGGTTGTGTGACTGCCTGACAAAATTGACAGTGAAAAATATGTCTCTTTGAATTTATTATTAAAATATCTGTTTCTTTGTTATAACGTCTATGACTTGAACAAAGTATATTTTCAGAAATTCCAGTAAAATTATATTTACAGAAAATAAAAATTGCTGCCATTGAAAGACATTCTCCAAGTAACTTAACACCATTCAGAGGGGCCAGGGTTCAGAGTTCAAGATGTGTTGTCCAACCTGCAATTGTACTTGTCCAACATTTGTTACTATGGTGTTTCCTGGCTTGTAATGGTTCCAGCTTACAATTTTCCAGCTTTATGATGGTGTGAAAGTGATATGCATTCAGTAGAAACCATACTTCAGGGTTTGAATTTGGATCATTTCTGGGACTAGTGCTGGGCAGCTGCAGTGAGCCTTGGCTCCCGGTAGGCCAGTAAGACAAGCATTCTGCATCCAGACAACCATTTTGTTTTCCAGTATAACATTCAATAGATTATATGAGATGTTCAACACTTTATTATAAAATAGGCTTTGTGTCAGATGATTTTGCCCAACTAATGTAAGTGACCGAGCATATTTAAGGTAGGCTAGGCTAAGCTGTGATGTTGAGGAGGTTAGGTGTATTACATGCGTTTTTAACTTAATATTTTTTTATTTATTTTAGAGAGCACAAGGTGGGAGAGGGGCAGAGGGGGAGAGAGAGAAAGAGAGGATCTTAAGCAGGCTCCATGCTCAGTGAAGCCCAATGCAGGGCTCGATCACAGGATCCTGCGATCATGACCTGAGCTGAAATCAAGAGTCAGACACTCAACCAACTGAGCCACCCAGGTGCCCCATAAATTAATTAATTATTTTAACATTTATTTATTTATTTTGAGAGAGAGACAGCACGTGCACAAGCAGTGCGGGTTGGAGAGATGGGAGAGAGAATCTGAAGTAGTCTCCAGGCTCAGAGCTGTCAGCACAGAACCCGACATGGGGCTCGAACTCCTTCAATTGTGAGATCATGACCTGACCCAAAGTTGGACACCTAACTGAACCACCCAGGTGCCCTGACCTAATATTTTGAACTTGATGAGTTTATTGGGACGTAACCCCATTGTAAGTCAAAGAAGATCTATAATCAACCGAATGTGATAAAAATAAGGTTCCTTGATGTTGGCTAAGTTATAGAATGCAGCAGAGGGAAAAGAAAGTGCTAAAAAATTTGATTTCCTGAACAGTTTAGCTGTAATACAAACTAAGCAGATGGTCAGTAAATTTAAGGAAGTTTAAGGAAGTTTGCTTGAATGTGTGTAAGAGTTCTGCCCTAGAGCTGAGGACAGTTGAGTGTATAGTCATCTGCTTAGGAAGGGAATTTAGAAAGTTACCTTGAATTTATATTTCAGTAGAAACACAGGCACAATTTAAAGTTTTTTGTAGATTGCTACTTTCAGCTGAAGTATATAGAGCAATAAATGAATCGGAGGACTTAAGTTCAAATGCTGGTTCCCCTAACTCAAAAGCCATGAGACCATCAGCACACATGTTAATAACCCCGTAGTCCTGCTTTACTGTCACCAAGGCACCCTGAAAATGCTAAAAGGAGATGAATAATGTGATCATGCCTGAAAACTATAATGTGTTGTATAAAAATAAGTTGTCTTCGTATTCTCAAACAGGCAGATGGCTCTACCCTGAATACATAGCCAATTAGGAACATGGTATTTCTATCCTAAAAATGCCTGCCTGATAATTGGATTGTATATGGACACTTTGAGCTTTAGCTCTTGAGGATTAAAATAATATCATACCAAAAGAAGTATTTTTTGAGGTATTTTAAGATTACCTTTTCTTCTGTGTCTACTGTATCAAAGGTAATTTAAACTTCCCCTGAGTACACCGCTATAAGTTTTTCCTTATACGTGAATTCTAAAAACTGAATTTTTTTTTTTTTTGGTAGGTTACCCTTAAGATGCTTTGAGAGGGAAGATAGAAATTTTGGGGGAGGGGGAACTCCTTCCTGAATATGATTTCTTAAAGAATTGGATAATCTTTGGAAATCTCTTGTAATGTCTAAAATCTGTTTAATTGTAAGTTTATAGTAGCCTGTATCTGTTTCATAAATCCACTTTAGCCTTATTGGGTGCAGGTTCCCTGAAATCCCTGAGGAGGTAGTTAATGGATGGATTGTTGAAGGACAAAGTAGGCTGCTTAAGTTTCAAAGCCTAATGCATTGAGGGAGATATCCATTGTTACTGCCACCTCGCACCCAAGTTCAGTTCATTGACTGCGAACCTGCTCTGCCACAGAGTCCGAGTCCGAGCGGTCCTTGAGCAGACTGGAGGCAGTGACGGCACGCTCCTCTGAAGAGGAAGGAGAGCACCTGGGCAGTAGAAAACCCAGAATGTCAGAGGGAAACGATTGTGGTGGTGGAGATGCTCTCTCCAATGGCATCAAAAAACACAGGTAGGACAGTCTTTAACAGTCACTATTGCTGGCTTTTTCTTATAAAATACTTACGGGTTCATAAAGAAAAGCATACCTTCTCTTTGTTTTTTCCTGTCTGTGTTGGACATTTATATTGCCGTTATCACCTCAGAGAAAGGATTTAGCTTAAGTACTTTTGCTCATTTGAGAGAAGAACATCATCTGTAATTGTAGGAATAAAGCATAAAACGTGGTTTTGGCAACCATGGTTTCGGGGAACATAAATCCTTTAGTTGAAAATTCAGATAGGCTCTTCAGAATTGTCTATTGCAATTGATGCTGGGCTCCTTTTTCCTCATACATCTTTGATGACTCTGCCTCCCCGTGCTATTTTAGTTTCTCGCCATTTGATCTTCTTGTTGGTTTTAGTGAGAGTGGATGGTAATATTGCCTGCCTGTTGATACAATTCAGTTACATTTAAACAAAGCCTTTTAAGACCCAGGGTTTGTTGAACATATCCATTTTACACTGTCTAATAACATTAGTATCTTTTTATTCCCTTGATGATTTCTTCCTAGAGATTGCCCCAGAGTAATGAGAGGCAGCAGGCACTGGAGCTCTCAGGTTTCGGCACAAGTGTGCAGACACAGTGGCACATGTGCCTGCCGGTATTCATAAAATATTTTATCAAATTATGGGTTAAGGCTGTATCCTGGTGTCATTGTGAAATGCACACGGGGGGGGGGGGTAAGAAGTTATTAACGGTTAATTTCTACAAGATAGTTTCGTTTGTTTAATATGTGCAAGTTGTATAACTCTGACTCCATTTCTGCGCCATGATTCTGGTCCTGATTGGTCTCAATAATTCTACTGGGGGGAAAATGTACATATCCCTTCTGATTTATGTGTATTTGCCCCTGGCTAACAAAAATAGTTTATACTCCTTTTGAAAACATCCAGTGAATTTTAGGTAATAAACTAATTGAAACCAGGATTTTCTTTTGTTTGGTTAGGGAGTATCCTCTAAACATACTCACTGATGCAATTTACTATTGAAAATTATGTGGCCAGCAGTGCTTTCCTGATTGCCTTCAGTAGTTGCTGTCAACTCCTTTGGGAGTCCGGGGCTAAAAAAGTTCTGTATAGGACATGAAATACCTAACAGGACACTTGGCAGGCTTACCAGACATACATTATGACAGTCTGGTGAGAACACAGGTGAACTCTTACGAATAGCTGATACAGTTGTTCAAATATCCATCAGAATAAAATAGAAGGTTGCAGATAAATTCCAGGGTCACTTTGTGCTTAAATACTCTCAGATCCTAGGGCTGGAGGCATTTCTCTGCTGCCTTTCACAGTGCCAGTAGCCCTTTAGTATGTGTGCTGTAATCATAACAGTAGTTATTTTGCACTTGACAGAAATTTTATACTGTATTTATATATTCTGTGTTATATCTTAGTCAAACCCAGAATGGTAAAGTGAGAAAGTTAAGGTGAAATTGTTCAAAAATGAAATCAGGGCAGGTTACTAAGAAAAACTTCAAAGGAATGCAGCTAGGTAGTGACCTCACTGGAAAAGTTAAACTGATAAATGAGCTGCAATTTACTAAGCCTGTAAGTGTAATAAAATATTCTTTAGTATTTAGGAGAAAAGAGGACAGTTTAGGAAATTGTCAGCAATCAGGTATGTAGGGAAAACATAACAGTTTCTATTTAAAAAATTTTTTTTTCATCGTTTATTTATTTTTGGGACAGAGAGAGACAGAGCATGAACGGGCGAGGGGCAGAGAGAGAGGGAGACACAGAATCGGAAACAGGCTCCAGGCTCTGAGCCATCAGCCCAGAGCCCGACGCGGGGCTCGAACTCACGGACCGCCAAGATCGTGACCTGGCTGAAGTCGGACGCTTAACCGACTGCACCACCCAGGCGCCCCGACAGTTTCTATTTTAAAAAGTAATTGTTAGGAGTTTTTTGTTTTGTTTTTTAGCCTTTTGTCTTGAAGTTCCTCTCTAATCAAATAAAGAGAACCTATGCCACCAATAATTTAAAAGTTTCATTTCAGATTAAGAAAGTAAATGTAGTATTCAGTGTTACCAAGTCCCTCTTGCCTGTGCCTTCAATTGCATTGTAAGTAATCTGTGTTTACAATGGGCAATTATTGTGGTAATAGGAAGAATAATTTGAATTAGTAGTAATTTTGGCGATGTTTTTAGAAAAGCAGAAGTAGTGCTGTTGGAGGATCAGCCCAAAGTGACCCTGGAATTTATCTGCAGTCTTCTATTTTATTTTTAAAAGTCACGTGAAATTAGTATTTGACCTTGTCATATACTATATATTTCCTCTTCCCTCCATACCACCATTTACCTTCAAGGATATACACACTTAAATTTAGGAAGGAGGACATGGGAAGAATATAGATTGTAAAATTTTTTTAAGTGAGAAATTAATATTTTTAAATGGCAAAAGATAAGCCTTACAATAATTCACATGGAAAGTATTAAATCATGGCCTAACTGATTTGCTGATAAACTAGAACAGGGGTTTTCAACTATTTAGCCATGGAACCACTTGTATAACAGATATTTAGTGTGGAAACTTAAAATCTCAACCACCTTCGGAGATTGTTGGGTCTCCCCTCAGAGGGGTCCTCTCCGCTCTTCTCCCCCGTCTCTAGCTTCAGTGGGAGACACCACATCTACTTCATGTCCTTATCCAACAAAAATATTTAAGCTCTATTTTCTGTAGTACGTGTTATAAACCATTACAAACTATGTTTCTGTTCCTGTTTATTACATACATAGGGGCCTTGGAGGGTGTTTGCTACGTGGGAAGCACTCAGTGCAAATGACCTGCTTTAACTCTGTTCATTCCATTTTTCCTCAAAAACTGTGATTTGCTTTGCCCTCAAACTCTACCCACTCGTTTTCCTTTTCCACCCAGTCATCATAGGGTGACATTGTGGGGCACAGTTTGAAAATTTCCAGGTATAGGGCATATGTCATATTAATTAACTATAAAATAAGGTGTGCTAAACTAATTTCTATGATAATAAAAGTGTAGATACTATGGATGTTTAATCTGTCCCATGTGATAATTGCCAACAAAATATTTTTTTAAAAAAATTTTAATGTTTATTTATTTTTGAGGAAGAGTGTGAGCAGGGGGGAAGGGCAAAGGGAGAGGGAGACACAGAATCCAAAGCAGGCTCCAGGCTCCAGTGCTGTGCATGCTGTTGGGCTTTCAGGTTAGTTCTAGAGAAATGTCAACAAAATTAGGGTTTTACTTATGACCTAGAACCATAAATATTGCAGAGTTAGCGAGTATACAAAACAAATGCTCCATTTCAATGGCATTTTATTTTTTCTCCGGAAAATATACTGAGTTGCTTTGTGGACAATTAGGCTACACCATGCTGTAGTTCGATTTATATTGATAGGGCTTCTTGACATCTTGGCTGTGTTTCACAGGAGCAGCTCTCTCGGACCTAATTTATGAAATTTATTCAGAGCTCTGATCTTTTAACTTGTTAGTGGTTTGCACCAAGTTGTTATATTTGATAAAGATGCTGATATTTATTTCATTACATCACTGGATATGGTATAAAAGATACTTAATGTAGAACAGATTAGTTAGAATGTGAAACATAGGATCCATGTTACAATTCTGTAAATTCTATTTGTAAATGTTATTTACTTCATTAATAGCATTAAATGGTAAAAGGAGAAAAACATACGATCATTCTAATAAAGAAAAAATATTCAATAAAATCACAGTCATTCCTGATTAATAAATATCTTAGCAAATCACAAATATAAGAGAGAACTTCTTTAGTCTTGTTAAAATTCACAAGAAACAAATTACTTAATGAGATAGTAAAGACAGTACTTAGAATATCAGGAATAATATAGGGATGCCTGCTGTCATCTTTGCTATTCAGCATTATTTGGAGGCCATAGTCAGAGATAATACCATAGCCATGAAATTTAGAAATAAAACCAGGGTGCCTAGGTGGCTCAGTTGGTTAAGCGAGATCAGGTCATGATCACGTGGTTCATGAGTTCAAGCCCCACGTCGGGCTCTGTGCTGACAGCTTAGAGCCTGGAGCCTGCTTTAGATTCTGTGTCTCCCTCTCTCTCTACCCCTCCCTTGCTCACACTCTCAAAAATAAAATAAAAACTAAAAAAAATTTTTAAAAAACCATAAGTATCTACCGGCAAATTGTTCAAGTTGGTAAAGAAGTTTGGCAGGGTTGCTTTTATACACAATCAACTGTTTACATTTCTGTGCACCATCAACACACTAGCTTAACTGGGGAAGGGGGCATACTGAGAGTACCTATTATAAAGTTACATACCTAGGAATAACTCTTAGCAAAAAATGTAATATTAAACTTACTGAAAGACCTAAAACTTATTGAGATGGCAAATACATTGTCAGAGAGACATTTTTGCCAAATTGATCTGCAAGATTCAGTGTAGTTTTAATTAAAATCTCAATGCCCTTTTCCTTGGAAGTTGAAACACGAATTCTGAAATATGTATTTAAGCCCATAGGGCTTTGAAGAGCCAAGATACTGCTCAAGAACCAGGTTGAGGGAAAGGAAAGCATTTTCTTTATCAAACGTAAAGACTGATTATAAGTCTTTAGTGCAGAAGTTTCATGGAGGCAGACCTGGAGAATGGAACTAGAAGGTCGCAAGACCTGGGGCGCCTGGGTGGCTCAGTCAGTTGAGTGTCCGACTTCGGCTCAGGTCATGATCTTGCAGTCTGTGAGTTCGAGCCCCGTGTCAGGCTCTGTGCTGACAGCTCAGAGCCTGGAGCCTGCTTCAGATTCTGCCCCTCTCCTGCTCATGCTCTGTCTCTCTCTGTCAAAAATAAACAAACATTAAAAAAAAGAATTTAGAAGGTCCCAAGACCCACAGATCTAGGAAACCTGGTATATACAGCAGAGCTAGCCTAGCAGATCAGTGAGGGGAAGAATGGGTTGTTAGGTAAATGGTACTGAGTTAGTCATTTAATGTGGGTCCTCCAAAAC